CGGCCTGCGTTTCGATAACCTGTACGTGTACTCGAAATCATTGCAACAGCCGAAATATTGCTACTTGAAGAATTTGCGTCGATAGACGAAATTGGCTTTTTTACATTTTCCAATAACATCGATGTTGTTCCGCCGAGCGAAGCGCTACCAAATTCCACTTTTGTTTTTGACGACGTGGCGTATGACAAACAAGATACGATAAGAGAATACTTTGCTATGGGTCGTCACTCGAACGTCGACTGTTTCTATCTCTGTCAGACGTACGCAAAAATACCTAAGCATCTTATACGAGATAATGTGATTCTCTTTAAGCAGGATGGTACCAATTTGAAACACGTGTACAAAGATCATGTGAACACTAATATGACGTACGAAGACTTTTGTGCGCTATGTCGCGAATGTTGGCAGCAAAAATATGGTTTCGTAGTGATAGACAAGGACAGTTCTGTGACTAATGGACGATATCGGCGGGGATTTAACGATTTTGCAATACCGTAACGTGACCATTTGTCGTTTGTGCATCAACGAGGAAATGTCTAACACATCGTAATGGCGACGTCGGATTACACAGAGATTAGCGACTCAGAGATTAATGATGGCAAGAAGATGGCGAAAGAAATTACGAAAACGAGCGAATCGATCCGTAAGAAATATCGAGCTTCAAAAACCGGTAAGATAGAGGAAGATACTGCGTTGGAAAGACACTTTCTACCTGTTATCGAGCCTCTGAGGCAAATTGTGGAACATGCTACTCATGTGAAACCTGACGTATCGACCATATTAGGAAATGATGCGTTATCGATCGATGAGAAGACACCAAAGCTCAGAGCCAAACACTTACTTGTCGTCTCTACATTGATCTACCAGAAGCGGAGAAAATCAAACGTCACGACGGATTCTCCTACGATAACCTCCACGCCAACAGACAACTTGCATCGTACACAATTGCGCGAAATGCCTCCACCACGCGTTATTCTGACCACCAATAATGAAGATGTTTTCAAGACCACTGGCGATTCACTCGTAACATCGATTAGACGTGAGTTGCAAACGGACAGGAGGGACAGGAAACTTTGCGCACCCATTTTGGTCCACTGGGGCAAAAATACATGGGAGCAGTTTTAAGCAGCGACAAACATACCACCATAGACTATGTGTAAGGTGTGTATTTCAGCAGTGATGGAACGAAGCTCAGCGATAAAAGTTTCGACGTGGATATTAACGATAATATAATCATTGGAGGTGTAAAGTACGCGGGAACACCTGGTATACGAGCTGATTTTCAAGAGAATTCCCGACGATGCCGTCTACATGGAGGCCGATAAACAAAAATACAAAAGTATATTACTGACGACGAACGCTCACAGACGCAATCACAACGCGCTACAACCTGTATTGAGTAAGGGGTACAAATACAAAAATATAATCGCACTCCTAATGATTGGTACATCGATCAACATGGTTGGCACAGGTTTAGCCACACCGCGTACCATGATACTGAACGATAATGCAATCGACTATGTTCACACAATCCCAACGAGCTGATGAATCGTCTGCGATTGCTGGAATCCTCCCAACAAGCTGGCAATAACGCTCACGGCAATGAAATTCTATCATTATCGAGGAACTTCGCGAGGCAGGCCTTGTTATAAATTAAATCGCACATCGATGATACGCGTATCGAAATGTTGATCAATAAATTTAGTGTTTCGCTCCAAAAGAGAGGACCACAGACGATGAACTATTACACGTGGAGGGGAGTACTCAGAAATTACGTACGCGATAACATTCTGTGCATGGTCGCCTCCGACTTCGATGCGAGATCGCGCAAGATACGACGCGTAGCGCAACCGGAAACCGACAGTGATGCGGTCAATAGACTATACGTGGAAAGAGGTCTTGCTGCATTGAGAGAGAAACAGCAAGAATTTGAAAAGAAACAGAAGGAATTTGAAAAAAACTTGATCAGACTTCATGCTGAAACACGTCATGTGTGAGAAAGTGTTTACAGCGCGAGAACGCGTTGAATAGATGGAATTTAAAACGATGCGCTCGCCATTTTCGTCATTCGTGATGAGACGACCTTAGCGATCAAACATGCGGAAAACTGGTGAAGAGGAGAAACAACACAGCCCCGAAAAGCAACGGTTGGTGGACGAATTGCATGCTCCTGCGAGAAGGGATTTTCCTCGTAGACGCGTCATTGTGCGCGGATACGATGATCTCTGGCAGGCCAATGTAGTGGAGATGCGTCTGTATTCGCGGCTCAACGGTGGCTACCATTACATACTCACCGTTATCGATGTACTGAGCAAACATGCTTAGGCCATGCCGCTAAAGACTAAGAGCGGAAAGGAGGTAGTCGAAGCGTTTGGCAAGATAATTCGAGACAGCGGAAGATGTCCAACAAATTTGCAAATAGACCAGGGGAAAGAATTTTATAATACCGATGTGCAGAGACTCGCAAAGAAATACAACATTAGTCATTATTCGACGTACTCGGTTATGAAGACTTCCGTCGTGGAACGATTCAATCGTACGCTGAAGAATTACATATGGAAAATGTTACAATTACAAGGAACCTACAGATGGATCGACTCGCTACCGCGTCTCGTGTCAAAATACAACGGGCGCAAGCACCGGACCATCGGTATGCGTCCTGCCGATGTGACCCCTACGATCGCTAAAAAAAACTCCTCGATACGGTCTACAGCAACGTAAAGATTGTAGCTCCGGCGAGATTCAAAATGGGCGATCCGATATGCGTGAGCAAGTTTAAGACTGCTTTGCTAAAGGTTACACGCCCAATTGGACTACTGAGGTGTTTAAGATCATCAAGATGCAGGCGACCAATCCTATGATCTATCTGCTCGAAGATTCTCGCAGACAGCCTGTAGTCGAAGGTTTCTACGAGTACGAACTGCATCGTGTTGCCAATCCAAACGTGTACTTGGTGGAGAAAGTGTTGTGCAGGAAAGGCAATAAGGTTTATGTGAAATGGTCGGGATTCGATAAATCATGCAACTCGTGGATACACAAGGATAATGTGTTGTAAAAAATTACTGTTTATTATAATATTTGCTATATCTTATAATATGATATATAATATATAATATATATATATATATATATATATATATATATATATATAATGTTGTTTAATTTATTGTATCATCATTTTCGCTGTCGATGATATTGTCCTCCTCCTCAGAGTCATTAATATTGATGACTTCTATATGTTCTGAAATCAAAAGATTAATTTTAATGGTTTTATATACAGAAAAATCGAAAATTTGATGACAAATTATAAAAAATGTTGTCTACTCTCTCACCATTGGCCGACTGTACGCCTATTTCTTCATCATTTTCATTAGCGGCGATGTTGTCCTCATCTTCCTCTTCAGAGTCATCAATATTGATGAATTCTATATGTC